CTGTAATGCAGCAGGGAATAAGATTAACTTTCATTCATCTTGCTTAAGGAAATTACAAGGCAACTAATCTATTTATAGAGAAAAACTAACAACCTATCTAACAAAATAACAAACTAAGAACAATCTAGAATAAGCTAGAATCTGGTGAGCTGGAAGAAGGAGTAACAGGTGCTGAACGTGTGCTGGGGAAACTGGAGTGAAGCTGGAGTGAACTGGAGAGATGAAGAACGTGGGCTGGGCTGCTGGTTTGTTGATGTGCTGGAGGCTTGGTTATATTCCAACAATTCTTACATCAACCACAAGGTATGGAAAAGGGAAAAAGGAGTTGAAGATGTTTCTTCGCACAAAATAAACATTATAATACGATATATAATTATTTACTCAAAAATTGAAATCATACAAAATAAACATTGCACAATACACTGTCCAATTATTTACTTAAAAGTCGAAATGATGTTTCGTAATCAATCACCACTTTCTAATTACATTTCGAAACCAATAACCAGTGGTGGATGACGTCGACTTGTTGATGTGAAGCTAAGTTATTTCCAAATCATAGACCATATTCTTGAGTGTAACTATATCTTTTGTAAGAATTTGACAAAAAAATATTCCAATATGCTTATGCTAACCAATCAAGAAAAGCCAAATTACCTTTATAAGTGAAACACGAGGATTGATTGGTTTCGATTGATTACGATTTTGTCCCATGCAAATGGCCTGGAACCTTGGGTGCTGATTCAATGGACTGTCAATGTTCAATTATTTTAGCTTTATGTGTCCAGCCAAATGTGAGAAATTAAGGATTTTTCATGAATCTTGTTACAACTTACATTTAGTACATGATCTTATTATAAAAATACAAACTCGCAATGAAGATTAAATATAAATAAATAAAATTTTATCATCTTTAATAGTTAAATTTTATCATCGACTACATTGAGAACTCCCAACACGGTGATCGCTAAATTGTCGTTCACCTCCAAAATCTTAAGATTTTTATGGATGAACAGTCATCTTTTGGCAGTAGATTCGGAGAGTTATTGTACATAGAACCAAAAGTCTATACATTATTAGGGAACTAAATGCCATAATTTAGCTTACTTGATGGATAAAATTGAAGAACAGTTGATATAGTCAAGGTTCTCAAGGACTAAACTTTTAAGGAAAGGTCAGCTAAAGGAAATTGAAAGAATGCTTTTATCAACAAACCGACATGATCGCTTCCACTTTTGAAACTTGTGG